CGTTCTTTTTGTTTGAACCAGTGGGTTTGAAATTCTTTTCTTCGTTCCAACCTGGCCTTATAAAACCCACACTTGGTAACAGTTTTCCTAACGCTCCACCTGCAGTAGGGTGGGCATCCTTGTCTGAACTGCAAGAGTCTGAGGACAAGATCGAGCTAGAATTAGGCTAGAAATGATAAAACCTTTTACCAGGCATATGCAAGACACGGGAATAACATGCCAAAAGAATTGCTCCGACGAGCTAACCACAGGATCACCACTTTTTATCATTTTGATTATTTTTGTAGCTTATCATAATTGCGTCATCGTTTGTCTTATATTTTAGATTGATGGATGAAAGCAGGTGATTATGGGAGAGCTCTGACGAAATGGACAAAAGCCAAAGCCACCATGATCATTACGAATGTTAATTTCAGCAAACGTGGCATAACCTGTGATAAATGAATTCTTTAAATTAGGATATATTCAGTACAGTTTCACAGTTCTTGAAATTTATCAATTTCAACGTTAGCTTCGATTCAAACAGAGTGTTAATTATTCGGCTCTGCGAAAACGGTGGAAAAGCCTCTCTGTCAGGGTTGTTGGCTCTAAACCCTGTCTCGTCTCTCAGTCAGAGTGCGCCTGCTTTCAGAGCGCGAGGGGTGATGGGATGGCGCTTTTCCTTACCTCATTCCCAGGGCCCCTCAGACCCATCATGCTCCCTTCAGTTACGCTTATCGCGTTTCATCCTCCGCGAGCGATCAACATACAGACGTCAGGGGACGAGACAGGTTCTAAACGCCTTTCTTCTGATTGACGGTTCCACATACACCGGCTTATTACAAATTGGCGGCAATACGGTTACCCGGTTAATAATTCCGGTACCAAGGCCGCTTTCATTCGACAAAAATTTCGGTTTGAGAATTCGAAAATTCCACGTACCCAATCGAACGGTACATTCCGGTTGCACAGACCCGACCCAAGCCACTGCGCGTTTGGTCATTTGTAAGCAGGATACAAACAGAGCGCTAATGAAAAGGCACATTTCGGTCCGACTGATCGAAATGATCGGACTGGTCAAAGTAGACCACCTTCAAAGGTAGCCCCAAATATTCCAGTAGGACCGAACCAAAATGGTCTGTTCCATTTGATTTGTAACCGAAATTTCCGGAATTTTGAGGTGAATGGAAAGCCTTCCAAGAGGACTTGCTATGGTGTCCGTATTGTCCCATTGGGTGTCAACAATAAGCGTGCTCTTAGACTGGAACAAACTTCATATTACGGACACATGTTTTATTCTAACCATAGATAACTGAAACTGTAACTCCTCATTAACAAGTTCATGCTAAAGAAATCTAACGTTCATTCATCTTAGGTAGCCTCTGATTAAGTCATCAATTAGTGCTTTTATCCAGTCACAAAACGCTAATCTTCCTATGAAGAAGATATGAAACAAATTTCACTAACCATAATAATGCAGTTTGGGTGATTTAAAGCAATGGCCCAATGTTTTCAAGTTTCATTTTATATCTGTCCTTGCCATTCGTAGCAAAAGACAACAAGAAGCAGTTTCAATGCCTGACAGTTTAAATAACAAAACTGGGCCATTATTTTAATTTGAACTCAATTGATGCGAAGACATGCTTTAGCTTTTTGAAAACACACATATACTGATAGCGAACAACGTTAATGCCCCGGCATTAAAAGGCATTACACATCATTAAAATCGATATATCAGGACGCTGTGACACCGCGCGTACAACTATGACACATGGCAGTAAATATTTTGTGCTAACGTGCCCCTATATACACATACTATCGTCTAACCCAGGTATCCTTTTCTATCCATTGATTGAAGTAAAAGTACTGTCCGTCTATTGCAATCTGTGAAGTAATCAATGACATCCGGGACTTAGTCACTTGAGCTCATCTTATTGATTTATCACGCGCGATTTAATACAAGATTAAATTAAGTCACGTCACATCAAGATGAAGTTTTCATTACTGAATCTTACTCACATAGTCGAGATGCCAACTTGGAGAATCCCAACTCCACGTTTTACGATTATCTCGATAAACCTCTACTCCTGTTATTGTTCCAACGTGGTAAGTTTCAAAAGAAAATACGTCAGTCCTACAGCGAAAAAACAGACGACCTATTTACTGCTATTTAAACCTTATCACTTGAAGAGGATGCTAAGTAGAAAAAACTAATAACAGAGTTCCGAAGCGCGCGAGAAGCCCGTGAGCGGATCCCTCAAACTAAGACAATTAGGTCATTTATCCATATGACAAATTTTGGTAGTCACATGACCGTACGTCCGTTCGACCCTCCGTTTGCACTCACACCATTTCGCCTTGTCTGCGCCCTATCGAGAGGTTCCCCAATAGGGTTCTTCAATCTCGTAATCCCGACCCAAAATTGCGGACAATCCGGTAATCCCGGATGGATACTTTTGGCTTCCCAACTCCCGCGGTTGCTTTAAAATCCCGAATCCTGAGCTTCAAATAATTTAGGGTAAATCTCGTATCCCGAGCCTATTGGGGACCCTCTATCGAGAATGTTTATTACTCAAGTATTACACTTGCCTTCCTCCAGTAAACTCGTCGTCTCCGGGATGATCAAGTTGTATTTGATCTGTGGAGCCTTTGGTACCAAGAACCTTTATCCACACGTTTGCATTAGTCCCGGGCAACGGAACAGAAAATGATCCTGAAGTGGTTCTTACTGTAACATGGTAAACTGAAGAAACACAGCAAGGAGTTAGCTTTTTTTAATAGATTTCCTGGCCTGCATCGCAGACCCAATCTAACCCCAATAGTAACGTATGTGAAACAGCGCTGATATCCTTTCCTGGGCCCCCAACAGACCCGACGAATGAAAAATGCGTTTCGAGTTTCCCTTCAACCTGATTGGCAAATCCACAATATCATGTGCGACTACCTCAGTCGCGTACTCAAATCTGGGTACACAAATGGGGTGTTGGAGGAGCCGAGAACAAGGATTTCGGCGCTGTTTTGCAGACAGACCAGAAGTTTAGTTTCGTCCTTGGGCGCAGGTTATAGATTTGTTCGTCGAAATAAAATAGATGCATTACTTGCATCGTATATCTATTCAGCTACTTTTATTGACTGTCTCACGTAAATTTCAATCAGGCTAAATAGCAAGTGTTCTTTATGTAGGTCTTATCCTTGATGCATACTGATAAGCCTCACTTAAACAAGGCTCTGGTCGTTTATTACCTGTACACAAGGTGGCAACCATTTTGCTGGGGAGGAGGGGCGGGGGGGGGATTTCAAAATCTTGATTGTTTTGAGTAGTCATTTTCATATAAGAGAGCGTTAGATGGGGAGCATTTTAATAACATTCATAAAATTAGCACAAAGCAGTAACGAGCGTGATTTGATACGTGAATGTAACAGCCGTAAATAGTAAAGTAACATTTATGTGTTAAACACTACTGTAAATGAAGTCGATAAAGTATGTGGTGAAGTGGGGGGGGGGGGGGGAAGGGCTTCACTTTCACATTAAGTCAAACCAGCTCATCTCTAAAAAGCTAAGATATAGTTTGGGGTTGGTTTAAAAATCTTCTAAGATCTTTTAAAATGGCCGCCCCTCTCCCCTCACACGTCTAATGTGTAAAATTCTGTAAATTTCCAAGACACATTCTTCGAATTCTTTAAATTGCAACGAACACTAGAAAACAATTTGTCTTCCTCCACACGGTTTGAACTTTTAACTGATCTGGAGCAAGTTGTTCGAAGCTCATTCAGTTTGGTCATGATCATGGATTGATTGTCAACCGAGCAGGGCCAAGGTGTTCAAAGCGCAGTCTATAGCGGCGCTAATGCAAGGTTAGTTGTCATGACAACTCTTTTCTGTCGCGTCCACAGTTTACCCAGGCCCCAGCAGGTTTATCGGGATCCGGGACTAGTTTGACTTATTTGAAGGTCCTGAGTCGGAACTCTGAAGAGTGTGATTATGCCGGGACGGGATGCGGGATTTGGGGAATGATGTTTTAAAGGAATCGATACCCGAAAAGGAGAGACACCTACATTTTCTTTTTGAAAAAATTCACCAGATCACTTAATCTTGACGTAACCAGGAGCACATTACGGGATCCAGGATTCGAACTGTAATTAAAATTGGATCCCTTCTAGCCTGCGAGCAAGCTCTCCATTTTGCATTTGAGGAATATCATGAAAATAACACGCGAGCGGCACGCGAGAGGAGACGCGACTGCAGGGCTTTGCCGCTCGCTCGCCCTTTGGCCTGTCCTGAATCAGTTCAATTTGAAACTATATTTTAACTACGGTTAACCACGGTTAATTCGTAACTAAGGGATATAAACAAGTGTTTTGCTCAAGGTCTAAAATGAAAAACAATGAGACAAGTTGTATTAAACTTACTTTTTTCGGCATCTGATGGAAAATAAAAAGAGAGAAAATTTAATACCTCTCAGGGTGCATGCACCAAGGTTAACTCATTAAGAATTTATAATAATAATAATACGTGTAATAAAGTGGCTAAAGCCGTTAAACAGTGCTCAATACACTTTTTCAGTGTAGAGCTTTGAATAAGAAGATATAACGAAGAGACAAAATTCTCTGTTACTCCGAGTTTCGTGCTCAGACAAAATTCTCTGTTACTCCGTGTTTCGTGCTCACGCACTCATCAGACAGTATTTAAATACTGTCTGATGAGTGCGTGAGCACGAAACTCGGAGTAACAGAGAATTTTGTCTCTTCGTTATATCTTCTTAATAATAATAATAATAATAATAATAATAATAATAATAATAATAATAATAATAATAATACCAATATCACTACTCCATGACTTAAACTGATAAGTCGAGTCGACATTTTAGCGTTTTTTAAATTGAACGGACAGTTTGTTCTCTCTCTTTATATGCATATTACAGGGAGAGAACAAACCAGCTCAATTAAAACACATTACATGGCCATAAATCGACTTGGGAACACACAACTTAAGTGAGATTAGCCGATCTTTGGCGGGTCGTTTTATCATAGTGATCAGAAATATTTTTCGTGATCACGTGAGCTGACCACGTAACTTTCTTTTTTTCTCTTCGATTCTTGCTTATTTCTTGACTGTTTTCTACGTTTTTTCGTTACGTATTTTGATTCTCCTATCTTTATTTTATTATGCCTGAGTCAGTCTCAAGTTTAAATAAGTGTTTCCCATTCAGTTCTCTTATTCATAGTTTATTTAATTATTTGTTAAATTATCGTGAGTATTCTTTCTTTTCTTTCATTTTCTCTTCCCTTCCATTCTTTTCTTTCTTTCTTTTCTATTTGTGTGTGTTTGTCTGTGAGTGTTTGGTGTTATTTCTTATAACCATTTATTGTAAATGTAATTGTAAACTATTCTTGTCCCACCTAGAATAGCATTTTTGCTAATTGTGTGGACAACACAACTGTAACTTGTTGCATGAAATTCATTAACGATTGTTGTTACTGTTGTTGTTGTTGTTTCGTGCACTAGAATAAAATCATAAGTCTACGTTTATTCGTTGTCTGCTAATAATACAGCGAGTTAATTGACTCGCCGCATGGATCATTCCGTAGCGCCTGGCATCCGATAGGCTTCAATTTTATGACAACCAGCCGAGTGCAAGCGTACTTTCTCGGGGATGTATACGCCTGTTAAGAGGGCGCTTTTTCTGTACACGTTTTATTGCTAAAAGCGTTCCGATAAACAGACAGTTTTTATAAAATATTGAATAAGAAATTTTTGGGAGACAAATACATCTCCTTTAGCTAAAGCTAATAAAACAAAGATTTAGAATGAGAATTTTCACCTTTGCAAACATCATCATCCGCCACATATCCGAGCTTACAAGTACAGGTAAACGCGCCTCTGGTGTTAGTGCAATCGGCATTAACGTCACAATTATGTGTTCCTTCTTCACATTCATTTATATCTAGAACGAATACCATATTGAATCAAGAAACTTGCTAGCGGAGATTTTTCTTTTAGAAACTGGTTAGGATTGCTGTAAAATTCCGAAAATAGGCCCCGAGGCTTAAATTTTCAAAGCCCCTTTTTTAAGGCGCTTATTTTTGGAGGGGCTTATATTCGGAGGGGATTATCTGCGGAGGGAAATTTACGTTTCAAAATCGATTGGACTAGCCTTATAGTTGGAAGTAAACTTACCGTTTTTACTTTGTTTTACTTTGTACTTGAGGGCAATTTTCCAAGTACAAGCCCCCGGGTGGGCTTATATTTGGAGGGGCGATTTAACCGAGGGTTTTTTTGCGTTACCGGTTTGAGGGGATTATATTTGGGGGGGCTTATACATGGAGGGGCTTATTTTCGGAATTCTACGGTATATTTAAAGTAAGCTGAATATAGTGTCTGTAACTAGGCTCTCCGCAAGATAATATTTCCATAACGACTCTCAAGAGAAGAAAATGGAACAAAGGAAACGCGTTAAATGTCTCACTCCAAATGGAAATCAATCAATGGCAGTGAATCTAGACTTTCAGGTAGGGTGGAGTGGTATGAGGGGACTGGCTTAGAGTCGGGCTGGTGGGCGTTGTCAGTGTCCGTAAAAGAAATATCTTGGCAGCTGGTTTTTAATGTCAGTGCTGCCCTAGATCTGTCACTGATTTTCTTATCTGAATAATAAGCGATGATCTCTTTTAAAACTTCGTGCTCAGTGGCAATGCAGTCCAGAAGGCTGCTTGGTTTTGTTTGTAACTTAATGTTGACCTGAAGTACAATGCTCAGTTTATTAAATTGATCTAAATCTAAATTGATAACCGTATCAATCTCACACGCGGGATATATATGGTTATTAACTGCGAGAATCTGTGTACTTAACTCAGTTTGACCCTTTTCCGTAAAATAGTCACAACAGTTGAATAAAGCCAAGCACCAGAGATTTCCTGTCCAGCGCTGTCCTTTGATTGTTTCATTGACATTATGCGGACTGTATTAATTTGAAAACAAAATAGCGTTTGACATAGTGCTTACCGCTTTCACAGTTTTCACCGGTGAATCCAGAAAGACACAAACAGCGATATTTTTTCTGCGTATATCCAGCTTGACATGTGGCATCGTTTTCGCAGGGGTCCGCATCACAGGCACTCTTTAAGCAAAAGCAAAGAAAAAATTGTGTTCCATAGATTATAAACTTTTGTTTCCCACTAAAATTCTCTGGCTTAGGTTCTCACAATAATTGTATTAAAATGCTCAACGTATACAATATGCGTATACAAGCCGTCATTTGAATTTGTGTTATTTCGAATTTTGTCTTGTGGTGTTCACTGTCTTTACAAAACGACAATTTTCCGAGAAATTCCACTAAATTGCTCAAATAATGCGCGAAGAAAATTATTTCATACTAAATGTACAAAAGCCTATTTTTAAAACTGTTCACAGTCAGCCGCCATTTTTTACATCGTTGAGAACGAGGGCTTCATGCGGTCATCTTGATAGAGTCTAACTCGCTCCCAACTATCTGAACGCCTCGACGCCCGCCCCCTCGAGATCGGTACATTTGAAACCAATTAGGTACAAAATAGCAGCCAGTGACAGTAAGAGCTCGATCTTGATGCTCGTATAAAGGGGAAAACAGGAGACTTTGAACAGTCTGACTCTCTGAGTTCCAGGACAATTATTTTAAATTTACGGTCAATTAGAGATGCATACAGGGGCACTCGACGACTTTTTTCTGAAGAACAATTGTTTCCCCCCTAGTCAAAGGAGCAACTATTGCCTAAAAACACGAAACCAAACTTCCCCTAAGACATCCAAACAGATAAATACTATTTAGTGCAGCTCCAAAATAACCAACCAGGCCTCTAAAGCCAAAGTTAAAAGCTATTTGAGACACTTCTAACGTATTTAACAATTATTCCACGAGGGCGCGTTGGATATGAGATGCTAGATAGCCACAGGGGCACCCAACGAGGATATAGTTCAAAACCACTTAACATAGCATTGTTGAACGTATTTTAGTATTTAAACGGTAGATATAGGCATATTTTTATCCCCTAAAAACTTTTCATCTGTTCGGATTTCCTAGCTGAAAGTCTAGTGATCCGAAAATTATAGAGATCAAAACTTACCTTTTCGAAAATTTCAGCCAGGAAAAGGCTCCCGAAAATTCTAGGTGGCCTTTTTTAGGGTAAATATCCGTTTAAAATGGGTAATTATATCATTTTGTAGACGCTCGAAAATCCTAGGAGAGGCAGGCAAGCAAGAAATTTTACAGCAAATGTTCCGAAAATTCTAGATCTCAAATCGTCTTCCGAACAGATATTTTCCCGAAAATTGCCGTTGGGTGCCCCTGTAGCCAACGAGGCGCGTAGCGCCGAGTTGGCTATAATCATTTCATATCCAACAAGCCCGAGTGGAATAATTGTTTTATTAAAAACGCCCACAAAATCTCGTTGAATCGCCCCGACTAGAACAAACCGGAAAAGACAAGGGACTTCCGCTATTCACATGTCACACGTCTATCAAAACTGTCAACGCGCGAACGGACTCGCCTGGACTGCATGAATGAAAAATCAAAACAATGTAGCGATGAACATTAGTTTTTTAAAAACTCATCGGGATTCTAGGATTTTACACAGCAGAACAGCTAAAAAAACCTGGCAGATAATGTGAAGGAAAAGAATTTTTAAGTGACAGCCGTCAAAATTACTGTGAATTTGGATTTTTGGTGCAGTTATAAAAGTAAGAACAACGGAGAAAAACTACCGATATTACCTCGGTCGCTTGTTATGAAGTTGTTTGAAGCCACAAGCTGGTTTTGCTGAACGAGAAAAGAAGCTATACTGCCGCCTCGATTGCTCTAGTGAATGGCTGCATAGCCTGTATTTGTAGCTGGTTACTTGTGATTTATATTCTTTATGTCGGATAAACAAGCTGCAGTTATCTATCGGCGAGTGACTCGATCGGCGAATGGCTTCCCGATCATGAAGAAGCAACACTTGTCTTCTTTCGTAGCTGGTCGAGGTACTTTAGTCCCATGTGTTTTCATGTGTTTTTCGACAAACTTTCAAACAAGCTCTTGTGGCTTTTTCGTTTGTTTTTGTCTTTTTCGTTTCGATGAAATTGCATTTCTAGTATTCTAAGAAATGAATTAAAACGATTTGCTTCGGGCGCCGTTCTATCCTTCGCGAAAAAAAATCTCAGCTAGCTTCCAATTTTAAACTGACGCGTACACCGACCATATATGGAGAGCATGGTATAAATATTCGATGGTTGATTGCTCTTTTCCTATAAGGTAAAATAACCTACCTCTGCTTCTCGGTATAAGTAGCCATAATTATCCATAAACTCATCATCATGTCTTCGATGAGTTGAATTGTTCAACTCACAGCTGAATGTTCCTTCAGCGTTTTCTGTAGTTTTGAAGTTCATACTCACACAATTTGGCTCGTAGTAACAGAGGAGCTCACAGAGGCTTAAATCTTTGACTTGCTCAGTTCTGATTGTGTGGTTTAGCAATCGTTTCTCAGCGTAGAACAAAAAACTAGGGAACGCTAGTATACGACATTCACCTGAAAGAAACAAACTAATTGAACTTTATGCATGATTCTGATGGGTAGACATTATAAGAGCTGCCAAAATACTTTCTTATAAAGGTAATGAACTTAGTTTAGTATAGATATCTTCAACATCGTTGGAAAAAAATAGCAAAGGAAATTATTTCTCCACCGGACGCCTCTGACCGGTCTGTGAATTACAATAATGAAGAATCAAACCTAATTTTCAGCCTATCAAAAAAACTGTGTCAGACCAGCCTCGTTCCCAGTCATCCTCGGTAAGTTCAGATGTAATGTTGGAACTCAACTCCAATCTTTCTCCACTCACTGGCGTAGCGGAAATTGCCCTGGATACGAGGCTGGTATAAGATATTGTTTCTGAGCCAATCTGTACTTTTTTTGACATCAACTTTCATCTGCAAACATAAATGTATTAAGTCTGTCTTGCTGTCTTCTCTCAGAGACAAAGTTGGAGAGATATAATAGCGAGCGAGAGAGCACGATTTCATGCTAGCGAGATTTTTTCGGATTTTTCTTGGAAAAAAAATGAAGAAATCGTGAAGCAACTCTACCTAAACACTAAACTCGATGCTGCAAAAATTATCATTTAATAGAAAGCTCCGTAAATTAAATGCAGTGTTCTCTTAATGAAAAACGAAGAGGAAGGCCAATGACTGGCGTCCAAGATAATGAAGTTAAAAATGACATGAATTTGAACAATAGCTGGTGGTTTTTGGGAGAGCTCCAACCATATCACTGCTTTTAATGAGTAACCGTTGTGATATTATTTCTTCTCTTTTATGTTTGAAGTTTCCCTCTTAAAACAGCTGCTGTTAAAATGTTACTGAATTTCAATATAGTTTACTCACGAATTTCCAATAAGTCCTACTGAGACATTATACACGTTCTTTTTTTGCATCCAACTGCCCCGTCGACACCTTATGCTTAATTATTGTTGACATGGAAAGTTATCCTTACAATAGCTTGAGCACGAAGTATATTTCTTCCACATATGCGAGAACAAACAGGATTATCGTATTAGCACGGATATTAAACCCTGTGCTAACCGTTTTTTATTTTAATTGGAATCAAGAAACTTAACATTATGATGAGTCCACTTCTTGACTAGTATACACTCTTTTGTTCCCAATTAAACAGCCGTACTTGTAGTATGCTTGGCTACAAAACTAGTTACTCGCGAGGAAATGTCCTACCGACGTCCTTATTATCCCAAAACGTGGTGCATGTATATGACATTGCAGCTAAAAGTCTATACATTATTTGTCCCGCAAAAGGCAAAAACAAAGAAGGCTTGTGTTTTCAGAAAAAGTTTTCAAGGGGCCTTGTTACTGCATGCGGTACTTTCAGACAAAGGAGCCTATCAGCGAATTTATACAGAGCTTGCACTGTATTTACCGCGTATCTACTTAATGGAATGCATACCCTTCAGTATGGTGAGAGGAAAAATATTGAGTAGTCAATGTCAATATCTTTTATGAAGTGCAAAGTGTGGAAATATATCGATCCGTCTAGGCCGTCGACTCTTGCCTTGTGAATTCTAGGTAGCTACAAAGGGAAGAGCCCGTGCGCACCATAAAACAATTCTCGATACAAGAGAGATAAAATGGATAACGTATTGTAAACTATTATTTACGATGCAAAAGTAAACTGGTTAATTAATTTAATACTGAGATCTGACATCATGCATGCTGTTGTTATGGTACTAGTAAAGTACGTTTTGTTGCGCCCCTTTCATGACTATCGCTACTTATCTTAACTTAACACCACCTCGGACTTGAACGGCTTTTTAAAATACAGTGAACTCAGTGCAGAATGATGTATTTTGTAGCCCCATTTCGTTCCTTTGTTGTTGTTGCTCAGTAACAGCAGCTGTTTCTTGGTTTCCAAATTGTATCACGAAAATTGAATTTGTTTTTGTTACGTCATTTGTAAGGTTTATTCTACCCTTTTTATTATCAGTTTGCAGTGAAAACGGAGATGGATTTGTCTTCAAGCCAGCTTTCAAATAAATACTTACTGTTACATTCACGTATTTTAAAGCCAAGGAATTCACGGCGAAAAAGACGAAGAACTTACCATCTTGACAAGCGGAGATAAAATTCACTGACAACAAAAGTAGGTTAATGCAAAAGCGAAGAGACTGCCTCATACTGCTGATTACAGGGTTGAGTAACTCGTCAATAAAAAGTTAAAATGGTGAACTTTATAGGTCGCATAAAATTAAGTACCCCATGATGAGCGCCTTCATGGAAAGAGTTAATAGCTAGGCCCAGGGCCACACGGCTAAAGGTTGATCATAAATATTAAACAAAGGAATTCGTGAAAGAGTTGATTTACAAGCCAAAAAGGTTTTGGGCCTTAATTCAAGCACATATCTGTTGTAATATGCTGCAGCCATATGCATAAACGAAATGGACCAAGATTGCCTCAAAAATACCCTTGTATTGTCTTACCCAGTATCTCCAGGTTGGATCTTGGCGTTACGTAAAGCAGTTGGTGTCAGGTGTTTTGATTAAAAAAAGGACCCAGAGGAAGATTCCCAGAAGAATGCTAGCTGGATGTGATTCGCTAACTCGAGCCCAAAGTACGGCGAAACACAATGTCTAGCTGTGACTTAATTTAGATTCTTACAAATCGTATTCATATTTTTGCTATTCTATTTACTAATAATACAATAAGAAAATACATCCTAGGAAGCTGACTTATTCGTGTTACTCCTAGACCATGATTTCATGCCGAGTTGATTTGTAACCGTGGTCTAACTTTCAAGGTTGTGATAAAATCCTAGAGTGTTACCATTCAAATGAATCCTCTTTCAACGAATTTTTGTATAGTTTTATTTTCTCCTGGTTTATTCCAAAAATAGATGAATCGGTTTTGCGTGAAGTTTTCACCTAGTTCGCTGTTAGGAATTAAAGAGCTTAAATTTAGCGTCTCTCATTCATTCACCATACAGTACGACCTCGACATTACTGATCCTAGCAGCATGCAAGACGCGAGTCAAATATGAACCTAGTATATGGCCTCGCTCTCCTTGAGTTCTGCTTAACTCAGTGGTAGAGCGCCCGCCCCGTGTTTGGGAGGTCATAGGCTCGAATCAGATGTTGGGCAATCAGATTTTTTCTTTGTCCCAAGCTCGTGACATGCTGATTATTTCATCTTCACATTTGTTCACCGAGCTTAAAATTAACCATCTTTCATTCTTTCACCTTAAAGATTTATTTCAAACATTTCTGGGCTTGCTTTTTTCTTGGGGATGTTTTTCATAAATCAGTTCAAACATTAATTAAAAGCTCGTTTGTATACAAGTTTTTAGCTGTGAATCTCAAACACACCTTGTTCTGACTCGTCAAGGTAATAGACCGATTTCGATAAACGAAAAGCAAAAGAAGACTTAATTCCATGGTTGGGGGAAAAACGAAACATTCTTAAGGACTCATTCTTGAACCTCAATTTCATTTCTTTTTTTTCTGAGCCTCGAAGCAAAGTGTAACTTTTAATTTATCGAAATCTGTTTATTACATGCAATTATTACTTATTGGATCGTTATTTCATGTTTTACACAACTAGGTGATAAGTTTTGCGAAACAGAATAGCACAGCTGTGGAAGCAGGAATTTTTTTCTATGGTAACCTGATGAACTTGGATTGTCCAGCTGGGGACAAAGTGGTAAACGGCATCCAATAATATGAACTTATATCCTGAGTAATGAAAATAATTTTATTTTATTTCTCGCTGGATGAGTCACTTATCGGGATTTATTTCACAGGAGAATAAGATGCTGTTGTTGGTGTTCTGGTTTCTCTTACTTAGCTCAAGTTCTACTCAGAGCAAACGTAAGCTTGGGTTTTTTGGTGATGTAATTTTTTCAGGACTGTAGAGCCGATTTTTGTTACCGTATTTTTAGCAAAGCAGTTTTAAAGCAGAGTAATGAATTCCGTCTCCTCTGCAGAAAATTGTTGTTTCAAAGCGCGTGTTAACTTCGTTTTTTGAATACTCCAAGAAGCAATTGATTTATTGCTAGTAAAGAGATTAACAGTAGTAGCAGGGGCACCAAACGGCAATTTTCGGAAAATATCTGTTCGGAAGACGATTTGAGATCCAGAATTTTCGGAACATTTTTTGTAAAATTTCTTGCTTGTCTACCTCTCCTAGGATTTTCGAACATCTAAAAATTGGTGTAATTGCCCATTTTTAACGGATTTTTACCCTAAAAAGCTCACCTAGAATTTTCGGGAGCCTTTTTCTGGCCGAAATTTTCGAAAAGGTAAGTTTTGATCCCTATGATTTTCGGATCTCGAGACTTTCAGCTAGGAAATCCGAACAGATGAAAAATTTTTAGGGGATAAAAATATGCCTATATCTACCGTTTAAATACTAAAATACGTTTAACAATGCTATGTTTAAGTGGTTTTGAATTATATTCTCGTTGGGTGCCCCTGTAGTAGAACATTAAGATTACCTTAATGGATATGACTACAGATCGAACGCTCTTAAAAAAATATATGAAGAAGATGTTGACCATGGTTTGAGATTATGGCAACAAAATCCCGCTATCCTATGTTTGCGTTTAAATGCGTCTTTTCCCAGTTAAAATTCACTTACACAAGAAAGATTAAACTAGTCTGGTTTTACTTCGTGGGTCATTAGGGATCATTTTAAAAATCTGGCAATCACCTATCCAGGTTTTTTCTGTCTATCTTCTTTTTAATTTTCGGCCGATTTTTATGACTTTTAACTAATTTGTAACTCATTTATTTCATTTTTTCTCTTGGCATCATATGTCATTTTATAAGTTGGTCCGAATTGGAAGTATAAAGACCGGAATGATAGGCTTTCTTTGTTGTTATTTTTTATTATTATATTACTCGTTTTTGAATATACGCATCCAAGGAGCAACAATATTTTAGTAACAATAATTCTTAGCCCAGCCAAGCCCTTTTAGTTGCTTAATTAGCTTGAATTTTTGATTACAAGCGACTCTTTCAGAACGGACAACCCCCTAAAACTGAGGGTAAAATTGGGCCCTGCCATCCTGTTTTTCACTCCAAGATAGACGGTCACAAGATGCCTGCCCAACACTGTCCGTCGTCAGTCAAGAAAATTGACTCTTTACTTAAGATAAATATAAAGGTAAACAATTTATACCCAAAATATCTAAAACTTTACTCCATCGGTAAAATGGAAATGACAAAGAACTGTTTGCTCCTCTAGGTTACACAGTCATCGTTAAAACTTCAAATGAATTTGGTTCTGGTACGGATGCTACTGTGAAGATTAAAATAAAAGGCACGAGGCTGAACTTAGCCGCAAGGGAGTTAAAAGGCAGCTTTGAACGCCGCAGGTATTACGTCTACTTTAACGAATATTGGATCCATTCCATAGCCCCCATAAAAGTCGGGAAGTACCTCCTACTTCACCCCCTTGTTGTTTTTCCTTGCGTCTCCGCCCTAGAATCTGAAACGCCTTGAACAGGCTAGTCAGGAAGACACAACTTAATGTTCTGACAAGCCTGATCTTGATAGTAGCCAAATTATCACATTTTTTACGGGGTTTTCCCATAAATGCATCAACTTCTATAATTAATACACCCTTTTCGCCAGAGACATTGGTATAGTCATCCTAGTAGACAAGAAAACCATTAACTCAGATGTCCTAACGGAACACTCAAAACGAATGGCCTTATAATAAGTATCAAATATCTCTAATATTCTTAGGCCACATATTTTTGAGCTTGAATATAATTTGTCTAATTATCCTGCAGACCGCCGGAAGTTTTCCAGTTCTCCGACTGCGACATAGGATATGTTAGGGGACTGGACGTTTATCGTGGCAATCAGGGTCGTTTTCCTGATTGGAACCTGGACTATGTAAGCGTCCGATACCAGGGCATTTCATGAGCTTATTTAGTGTTGGATCTATCTTCCAAAACAAAAATCTAAAACACAAATGCTTGCCCTTGAGATCTCAGTCATCAAGGAAATTATGCTATCGGCGCAACTGTCTAACTTTCCAAGGACCGGATGGGTGGTAGCCGCAAAAGCTGCTTGTTTATGCTCGTATTGTTGTAGCCGCCATCTTTGATTTTATGACAGAGGGAGATTGGGGAGACCATTTCCTCCTCTGTTTTGGAGTTCCAACATGGAACTTTCAAGAGTGAAAACATTCGTGCGCCAAAAGAAAACGCCTTCATGGACTTACGACCGCATTTTTTGAATTTTCTGGATCCACTCGTGCCGCTTATTAAATCGGTATCACTTAAAAGAGTTTTTTTTTGTAGATTTATAGAGCAATCCTAAAGCAGAGAGTTAAAACTTTTGGGAAATTACCTTGCAATGTGAATGATTTCAGGAGTCAAGAACGGAGTGGTCGCTCCTACTGAATTTCGATTTTTTTGGGGGGCAGGAGGGGTGGGGGCAAAAAAGTGGTCGTAGTAGTGGGGTAGGTGTGGTCTTAGGGTTAGGGTTAGGTTAGGTTAGGTTTAGGTTTGGCAGGGTTTAATCTGACTTGTCCCAGTCGTCTCCAAGAAAACTCTCCCTAGTGGCGCGCGGGGTGTGATGGGAAGGAGGAAAGAAAGGGAGAGAGACCCTCTCGTCTTCCTCTCTTCTCCCTTATCATCACCCCCTGCTCCCGCAGTGTGCGTTACGCGCGAAGACAACAGAGTCAGGGGTTTCATTTTTCTGCAAAAGTTTAAAGCAGATGACTTCTGATAATCAAAAAACGAGTATTTTGACTTTTTTCTAGATTGTCATTAAGATCGCTGGAGCAAAAGACGCCGTTTTCAATTACGGTGGCAGGGAGATACACTATGGATGGACAAAACTAACTCGTAAGTACAGTATTGAAGTCTTGGTTTCTGATTTAAACCTGGAGAATACTTTATGATATTTTTTGACCAGGCAATCCCTCACTTCTCAGAGGTGTGTTTCTTCCTGGTTTCAGTATCTCATCAACTTTTCTCATCTGGTGATCAATGCTTCTTGAAATTTTGCCGAATTGCGTAATGGAGAAATTCAAAATAGTACTTTGTTTATTTCAATGCATATTTAATTTCAGTTCAATACGGAGTTCAACATTTTCAGTCGTAGTTTGCTTGCAGACGCATGTCACGTCAACATAAATACCACTGTTTGAGATTTTTTATAGCACCCGTATTCGTCCGACTGTAATGCGCGGTGGAGAATGAGAAGTTACTTATTTGTACTAAGCTTGCTGTTTTTGTTTTAGTTTCCTGCAACGACGGAAACGTTATTAACAGTCAAGGCTATTGTGATGGTATTGTATCTGGTCTAATTATTTCCAAAGAATCAGCATGAGTCTCCCTTGCCTTATACACTCGTGTGCTCTAGACATGCATACCTTGAAGAATGGGCACATTCGTCGGTTGAGACAAAATATGACTTTTTGAAGCCTATCTTTGAAAACAATTGCAACCACCAATGTTTGTTATTTTATTCGTGTGCAATACCATAAAAATGCTGCCGATCATAGGGCTGGAAAACTGTTTGTGGTTGTAGCTCATTTAGCCTGTCCTCGGATGCCTTTTTTATCTTTTTGTTTTCTTTACGAGGGTTTGGTACCCACGACGATCTGAAAAGAAAATAACTGAGCGTTTGTGAATAAGCTAAGGCTCATTCATGTTGACCCCTCAGAGATAAAAATTATAAAAAATATACCTTAAATGGCATGCACTGACAATTTCAATGGCGATGAAGATGACAAACAAATACACTTTTTCCTTCATTGTTTTGGGCAACCACTTAAATGGCGATCATTTCAGGAAAGCACGGTAGCGGTTAGAACTGAACCACTAATTTCGCCTCCTTAATGATGCGAAGGGAAGCCCCGTCTTTTCATGACCTTTATCGTGCTTTTTGGGAACGTCTGCTAGGAAATCATAAAACTGACAAGATTGCCATTGCATTGAGCATGAACTGTACGTTACTTGGCTCGATTACCAGTAGCTGTTTGGAAAAATGAGCCTGGAATATTTTTTTCAAGTTACGTCACTTACAACAAGTTAAAAGTGCCCTCGTCTAATCTCTAGGAAGATTAAAGACCGGACTCGGGAGAGAGGGAGAAAAGTTACATACTTACATTACACCGTGCAAACATCTATACAGTCAACTCTCCCTAAGATGGACACCTTTGGGACCGGCACTAGCTGTCCATCTTAGAGAGATGTCCGTGTTATAGAAAGTCAAATAGAGGGAGCTAAGAAGGTGTCAGTTTTACAGAGATGTCCGTCTTATAGAGGTGTCCGTTAAGAGAGAGTCGACTGTAGTTTAATGTTTTAATATTTTCTTTTCGTTTCATCACTGAATAACGTACATATAGTGGCAGATGTGGACGAATGCAAGAAACCTTATACTTGCATCTCACCAGCAAAATGTGAGAATACTGTGGGATCATACAAGTGTCATTGCCCTAAAGGCTACGTTTTAAAACCCGGAACTAACAACCAGTGTCAAGGTGCAGTTTTGTAATTGGTGTTTGTTATCATCATTACCTGAAAGAGTCTAAGTTGCGTGTTAGAGGAAGACATGAAAGAGGACTTCCAGGTTTCCGCGCTCGCCTTCCTCTCCCTCGACCCGTTCTTATTTATTAGTTCTTTATTTATCAGTTTAGTTCTAAGTTTATCGTGAGATTAACCGTGGGATAATTATAAGGTCCAAGCTGTATTCAGTAGATAAAAAGTACAACAGTCACAGAATTTTTGAACTTGTGAGCGTGTCCCTAGGTGGGCTCCTCATGCTCCCTGTCGCTTTACCCTCAGGTTAATGCGCATTTTCCCTTTCTCTCAAATTTGCTTGTTCTTATTTTAACAAAAATGGTTGCTAAGAACGGACACTTCTTGATCTAAAGAGTTAATTAGCGGAAAAAATGATCAGGATTGTTACTACTCGTGGAGGCGTATGTGGTCGTGTGGTTAACACCTCGAACTCTGGATGTGGAGGTCCGGGGTTCAAGCCTCGTTCGTCTCATTGTTTCCTTAAACAAGGAACTTTACTCCACTTTGTCTCTCTTCACCCAGGTGTATAAATGGGTACCGGCGACATACTGTTGGAGGATAACCCTGCGATGGACTAGCATCCCGTCCAGGGGGAGTAGCAATACTCCTGGGCGTGCATGCTTCATGCTAAGCTCCGGCCGTTTAGGCCTTTGGCTCGTGTGCGCCCTTTATCCTCAGGCGCTTGGAAGTAGTGGACGCAAAAAAAAAAAAAAAAAAAAAAAAAAGGCGCCCTAGAAGGAGACACGCAAGGGGAGAGGGAGTGTCTCGTGCCTCCCTCGTGTGTCTCCCTCGCGCGTATCAAGGAATATTTAGTCATATATTTAACTATGATTCAAACCATTTGATTACCGTTGCTCTTCAGATGTCAACGAATGTTTACGCCGAGGTCCTTGCGATTACAGGAGATCTACCTGCCAGAATATTCCCGGAGACTATCGCTGCAATTGCAAAGCGGGTTACAGGAATAAGGACGCCAAGACCTGTATTAGTAAGTAGAAGTATGAACTGCAAATTAGCTCTCTGTCGTGTACTGTTTAAATGAGAGCGTACGGCTAAACTGTGCATCTTAGTAGGTATGTTACGTAAGAGCTTTTAGCAGCCGGGTCAGCAGCCCCGCCCGCTGATTTCCTGCAAAAAGAAGATTCCTCATTTTCTGGTAGATATGTTAAATGTCCCTGCGCTAAGTTGTAGATAGTGTATACTCACTGGGTGCCTCTTTTCTTTCTTTTTTAGATATAAATGAATGCACTATGGGTATCGATTCATGTGACAAGACGTCATCAGATTGCATAGACTCAGATGGAACCTTCTGGTGTCGTTGTAAGAAAGGTTATTATCAGAAGGTAGCGAACAACAAGCTCTGTGTAGGTGAGTTGTTTCAGATGTCTATCGCACAACGTATTTGCCGTTATATGCTGCATGACTCAAGCTATGAAACTCTCCTTGTGTTCGGTCCGCGATCGTGCTAAAACAATTCAAAAGACTGCTCTTTTTCATGGTGTTTCATAAAAAAAAAGTGGGTGAGTCTCGCTAAGGAGTATTTCATCTTCCAACCCTAAGGCCCAGGGAACGGGAAGAAGAGAGACTCTGGGAAGGAGGCTACTGTAACAACAAACAAAACAAAACAACAACAACAACAACAACAACAACAAAAACTAGTAAGCATGGCTAAGCACATGGCGAAAGACATGACAGTGATCAAAGACACGGATCTAAACACACTACTTGAGGAAAGAGTCTTTACAGGTAATAACATAATACCACGGCTTGTTATGAAGAATACAATAACATAATAGGACCTACCTGACCAATCAAGTCATTTAATTAAGAGTCACATTAAGAGTTGACCCCATCAATTAATGAAAGGTACACAACTCTTTTTAACTCTGGTGATCAATTCCTCAGAGGCCAGTCGAAACATAAAGTCAGTTTTTGCACCACTTGTTGCATTTGTGTCTACAATCACCCAAAGATTGTATTCCCTAACCTACTTATGTTTTTCTTTTCAATTAGCCGTGGAATGTGGCCCCCTTATACCTCCCGCTAGTGGCACATTTGAGCCTGCGCGCTGCATTCAAGTCAACTCTAATGTCTTCAGAGACAAATGTCACTTGAAATGTCACGTGGGATATGCTATTTCTGACGTCTCACAAGGAATCCTAACCTGCGGTAGTAGAGGGCGGTGGGAGGGAACCTTAGCAACTTGCCAACGTGAGTATAATTACGCCAGGTACACGGAATACGTTTTGCAAGTTTTAATATTTAAGCGACTTAGTCCAGAAAGGAAACAGGCACACAAGTTTGCATTTGATACACAGACTGAAAACGCAGTTTTTTTCACTTCCTTGTTCCTCAATTTTAAGTCTAGTTATCAACTCCATTTTTGGGCAATATGGGCCAAACAGTTAATCACAATGTTATCATCATCAATGTTCTCATGATGGCATATTTACCTCTACCCTTACTCTGAAGTATCAACCTGGAGAAGGTTTGAAGGTTTTTCACTTCTCTACGAACTGCTATCGCACGGTTTAAAATTCTTTCCACTGTTGGGACTGCTCATTCCATCAATGACCGTTGCTTAAGGAAGACCATATTAATGAACTTAAGTCTGTCTGTCTCATTGTTTCACCAGCTGTCTCTTGCCCAAAACTGCCCGCTTTTTCAAATGGAGGCTTACTGCCGTCATCATGCACGTCATCTGGTGGTAAATACCCAAACAAGTGTTCGTACTATTGTTCCAGCGGTTACTCTCTACAAGGTGGCCAATTCCGACAGTGTCAAGCAGATGGGACCTGGGACAGAACCGCGCCAACTTGTACAAAAAGTAAAGAAGACATGTGGTTTTGTGTTCCATTGCTTTAATTTGTTTAAATTGTTTTCTTCTTCCTAAGATAAACTGAATTTTTTTTATTAAAATCCTTAATTGAGGCAAGGAAGAATGTATTTACAAAATTTAGGATTTTGCATGTGCCTTAAGTGTGTCTTAGATCACTACTGTTTGTTTGATTTTAGTTTTGGCTAAGCCGTGGATCAGATGTCCAGATCACATAATTCAGGACTTACTCCCAGGAAAATCAACAGCTGACGTCAGCAGTGTGTGGAAGGAGCCAACGTCAAACGTTGAACCTGCACAAATAACAATCAGTCCACCTGAAATATCCTCTAGTTACCAGTTCCCGCCCGGCACAACAAAAGTCACGTGGACCGCAAGTAATGTTGTAGGATCGCAACGCTGCTCGTCGTATGTAATCATTTACGGTAATTTCAGCTTATTTTATGTTCCTTTAAGTGTATCATAAAAGATAGAATGACATAAGTGGAGAGAAGAACTCAGAAAAAAATTCTGAGTACTAGTCAAGATTGGAATTGAGCCCACGACCTTCTCTGGTCGGATCCTCTAACCACTGAACTACGAGGAGCTTCATTGATGAGCAGGTCATTTGTGGGCTGACATAACGACTGCATCTCGCAGTCACATTATGTCAAATGAATAAACACACGATTTAACTGCATCACGCAGTCACGTTTCAAGTACTCTCTGAGTAATAAATAATAAATTGAATGATATGTGTGGAGAGAAGAACTCAGAAAAAATTCTGAGTTCTAGATGACAATTGAACCCACGACCTTCCAGACACTAACAACATCATTCTGTTTATGTGAACACGTGGTGATATTGTGTCGATTTAAGCCATTAATCATTACTCTCACTTCAAAATCGGAGACTCCAGGACTGGTAGGACCAAACTGAGTCTATAATCCAGTTAGTTATCTTTTCTTTCCCATAATGATACAGAGTAACACATCTTCACAACAAACTGTTTGTATTTATTATATTTAGATAAGGAAGCTCCCACGGTAGCAAATTGTCCTCAAGAAATTCTTGAAATAAGCAGTGGTCCCAAGGCGGTCACCTGGGTAGAACCGACCTTCAGGGACAATGTGAAAGTCACAAAAATAGACACCTCACACACTAACGGCAGCGTCTTTGAGTTGGGAACCACATATGTCAGCTATACCGCTGAAGACGCCGCTAGGAATACAGCCTTTTGTAAATTCAAGGTCCAACTCAAACGTAAGTTCTAAAGGCTTATCTCACTGAGTTTCGTCTTCATCGTCTGAAAGTTTTTGTTAAAATGTTACTGAAAGCATTTGTTTCAACGTGTACTCAATATGTTTGCTTGAGTTGCGTGCAAATGTAACTTGTAGCACTAAGACGGTGTTCACACCAGTGTAGATGTTCTCGGGTGGTCCCTTAACTTGGACTTAGGATGTTTCTCAGTTTTGAGACTGAATTTAAGCTGATGTGGTGCCTTTTAGGGCTGTCAAAGGTGTCGAGCTAAAAAAGGTTTGGAATTATTTGTTATGTAACAATGGGTATAGCACTTGGGAGTCAAATTCCAACACAATTTAAGGAACTCGAAACTATATTAAATGAGAATGCATTCTTATTTACACATTTGTCACTTGAAAATCATTTTTTCATATTTTGATCACAAAGCCGAATTCGAAGATTCCCCTATGTCATGTGATATCACCACCGGTTATATTCTAAAGGTGGTATTATATTTTATAGGGCTAGAGTGTTATGAACCGGACGGGCCTGAAGGTGGCACTAAACAATGCAACGAGTTTGGTGGCAGTATTTTCTGCACCGTAACTTGCCATAGCGGAAGTCAGCTGTACCGAGAAACTGCATCTTACTGGCAGTGTAACAAAGGAGTCTGGACACCCAGTGATGTCATTCCTGACTGCGTTGGTAAGACTAACCACATCATAGTGCTTTTTATTGATAAGAAGAAGTGTAGTCTTGACTAATTTGTGAAGATGGGCAGTGGCACAATGCAAGATAAAAGATAGCGTAAATTTTATAAAGAACATTCTGTTTTAAAGTTAAGTGACTATGCCCAACAATACCAACAAAGGAGGTGTATCCAGAAACCATGAGTCAATTATTTTTGAGGCATTAGAAAAAGGTATAAGGGGTCTTAGTTATGATAGAAATATTTCGGAAATATAATTTGATGTATTTTTCACTTTTCATGCAGTTTTCTTCACTGATTTTGAGATATTCAAATTTTAGGTTTTGAGAGAATAGTCCCTATGCATACGTTACACAAGCAAATTTCACCACCAAAGCCTTATTATGAATCAAAAATTAGCCGAGTTTCACAGAAATGAATTCCCAATACAGTAGCGTTGAAAAGAATACCCAAGCACAAAAAGTACAAATGCAAAAAAATTAGTTCACAAACGAGGCTTTGGTGATGAAATTTACTCGTCTGACGTAGCCATGTATAAGGACGTATTCTTTAAATTCTTTAACACACGTGAATTTTCATTTCACCCTAAAAAAGAGTGTGAGGAAATTTGCATATGTCTCGTATTAGCGGAATTATTGCATTTCAAACTAAAAAGTCGAATCTCGAGCACGATTTATGCAAAGAAACTGACATAAAATGAGTTACAAAGGGAAATCGGAAAATTCCTCACACCCTTTTTTTTAGGTCTTTTATCTAAGGAAGTGAATATTTAACAACGCGAAAGGGCTGGAGCTTCAGCAGTAAACTCGATACCTCTGAGTTCGAGAGCAAAAAACTTAAGCACCTTTTGAAATTCGATGAAATAAAATCTTTTATAAGGTAATTTAGTCTTCTGACTTTAATTTGATATATAACTTGCCTTTGTAGCGAAAATACTCGCGCGACTATAATTTTTTCCTGTGGGGACCTCGTTTTCCTTTACCGAGACCTTAAATTGATAACATCTACAAATTTACGAGACTATTGTAAATAATACTACATTCAATTTAAAGTAAGTAGTATCCTCAGCCTGAAAGATCCAAATACGGCCTGCCAAGAAAATCAATTCGTGATGAATATCACAAATGTATTTGGAACTAACTTGTACTGTGGTAAGAAAAAGAATGGCTGTCTAGTCATCCCTCGCTTGTTTTTGTCGGGGTCTTATAAGAAAGGGAATGGGGCTAACGGTTTAGGGTCTTTATGCTTTTTGCAAAATGAATCTCACTGGCTCCGTTCAGTGTTTGACTTCTAAAGACAGAATGAACTCTCAGAACGTATTGATTTTAGCCAAGCCTAATAGCGGAGCCTCTGTTTCCTTCACTAAGATTTTGCCTGAAACAATAAACTTTAAACCCCAGGAAAGTGTTGCTCATAAGCTTTCATTTAAGTATACAGTCATAATCACACTTTAGAAATTTCATACGGGGAATTAGTAGCTGGGGAGATCTTAAACTGCACGGAAGAACTTCTCAAGAACATTTCAGATCGATACATTGGTCTAAGGGCCTGTTTACATGGAGGTGGGGGATCCCAGGTAGGTGAGGTAACCCGCTTAGGTGGGGTAACCCGCCTGTCCAAATAATCTCTCATTTTAATGTGATAACGTTTACATGTTAGGTGGGGTAACTTGACACATGTTACCTCACCTACCTGGGGTCCCCCACCTTCATGTAAATAGGCCCTAATATCGACATATTCCATAGCTAAATGTCCCACTGGGACATACAAATCCTCCATTACCGACTGCAACCCTTGTCCCGCGGGATCCTATAATGACCAGCAAGGACAATTGCAATGCACTCTTTGTCCCACGGGAACTTCTTCTCTACCTGGAGCCAAGACAGCCTTGGATTGTATAGGTAGGTTTCACTTTGCTCCTCCAAGTTATCCTATTGGTTGAAGTCGCTAAATTAGGGAGTTCTGTTATTTCTTTTGTATAATGAGTTTTAGCTTCGCAGTACAAGTTGGAATATACGAGCAAGAGAAACTGAATAACGTTTGTGCTCTTTAGGTAGTAAAGGGTGCCCTGTCATAGCTTTAAAGTTTAAAGTAGAGGTCAGATGAAGCATGACGAGCATAGAGATAAAACGTCATAATCATCATAAAACAACTCAATTTCTGAAAAAAGTGAAATTTATCTTCTTTCCTTATGACACTTTGCGTAAAACGTTTTGCACACAAAATTAACGAGAAAAGAAAAAGAAAAGGTTAATGAAAGGCCTTCTTTCCTTTCCTTTCTTTTTTGTGCAACCTTTTTTTGAAACCTTTTTTCACAAGTATTCCCGAAACCAAGTGCTATGCGTTATTGGCAGGAATAGAAAATACTTAATTTCGTTTCGGTTCCTGTAAACAGAGAACGGCGCTTTCAGCTGCTTCGACCAAAAGTTTTTTTCTAGGAGCTATGGTTCTGCCAACTAAATATCACGAGGAAAATGTACAAGGTATGTTCCTATTTCACTTGTCATCTACATCGTGGCTCATCTTTCTTCTTAGCCCCATGCCCTGCTGGTCAGTTCTCGAAGACTGGACTGGGACCGAATTGTCAGTATTGCCCACGTGATAGCTATCAGGACAAAGTCCAACAAAAGAGCTGCACGCCATGTCCTCATGATACTCATACTCTCTCACTGGGCGCCAAAAATCACTGGCTGAATGTGGAGGTTAGTAGTACAATGAGCTGCCAAGAACCATATAAGGCAGTTCTCATTTTGCAAACACTGTTAGATATCTACTGGAGTCAACATGACCCGGTAAATGTCATTTTTGTTGACCGACAGGCTGTTTGCATGATTTGGTGGGGTCTTTTCACCATAATTAACGTTACACAAAGTACCACGAATTTATTTAACTCTGCATTAGAGCTGATAAGATCAGTCTTGTCCGGTTCTGTTTTCAGCGAGGCCCAAAGTGAACCGAACGGTACCAGTGGTAGCTAACATAAAAGAAGGCGAAAGTGTGTCAGTAGTTTGTTACGCTAGTGGAACCCCAACACCCAGCTACTTCTGGAAATTCTTGAAAAACATACCGGGTAAGTTTCTGACTCGCTATTTAGAGCGGAAATGTTTCCGTGAAGGCTTTGGGCGATTTCACAGGCAGCACTTACAAGGCCGCTTACAAGGCCATGATCACAGGACTGCTTGAGAGAACGCCATAAAAAGCAAAACAAAAGAAGTGCAGCATACGGTAGCCTGCGAACAGCAGACGTATTTTCGGTCGTCGCTTATACGGAGGTCCAATGAAATTATAGAGCTGTGACTCTTCTGACGGCTTTGTCTTCCTCTGATTGCAGAGGACTTTGCTTTATAATTAAAGGTCAGTTTAGGCACAGGTCAAAAGAGAGCAAACGTGCCTTTGTGGTTATTTCTGTGTTATCTGAGTAGCTTATTAGAAAATTAAAAAGAGTTTCTAATTAACAAATCGACAGCAATTTTCCATAGTCAGTGCACTCTTATCGATCATAGACTTGGTGTGGCAGTGAAACCACGAGCCGCGGGCGAGTGGTTCCACTTGAGTTCTGAACATTTTGACGTCATTTTCTATGGTCGATAAGAGTACAGATCATGGAAAACTGTTGTTGATTTGTTTTTACAATAACATTGACGGTCGGTATCCATTTCCGTTTAAATTTCTCGGAAAGTCGCGCGCTCAAGAAAAAAAAAACGAATTGCCCCACCATCACGTCATTTCCACGATCTGTACTCTTATCAAACATAGCTATCCGTCAATCAGCGCGAGAGAAATCGCTCGGTTGTTAAAAAAAAAAAAAAGATTTTTAGACCAGCCTCGTTCCCAGGGTCCCTCTGCTTCCCGTCGCTCCAGGAGAGGGGAAGGAGAGAGTCTGGGAAAGAGGTTGTTTTGGGAGATTTAACAAACGTATACCAACAAAGTGCAATCATGAAAGGTTGTGTAAATATGAAAGTGAATATTGTTATCTGTTGGGAATAAAAAAAACTGCCGAGCCGAAATCTATCAAAATTTGATCCTGAATTCATTTTTATGAACGTAAAGCTGCTGGCGTCAGTGATTGCAAAAGAAATTCATAGTGATAAACATTTTGTGTAGCTGTTCTAAAGATATTTCATTTCATTGAAGCGAGTTTCCTTGGTAGCATGTCACAGACCAACATTAAAGACGGCAATGGTTTGGTGACTGGTTCCAAGCTGACTATCACCAGTGCTACGTATGAGAACTCGGGTTTATATGAGTGCCGTGCTTCGAATACGCATGGAGAGCACACAGCACTTGCTCAGGTTAATGTAGCAAAAGTGATTGACATCGGCTCTGGCTTGGACGAACCGCTTTAAGGTACAGTTTGCATACTAGTTACTTTAGTTTATTTTCTTTCTCTTATATACAACTTTTCACGTTCGGAAACTTTTCTTAACTAAAGAAAGTAGAGAGAATCTGAACACAGTTCACCCGCCATTAAAACAAATAAAATCGAGGCGAAGTTAGAGTAAGAGTTTGGCCGATTCCCTCCGCTCTCTCGACTTGCGGCCCTGTGTTTCTTCGCAGAGAGGACCGCATTTTCGTTTCCCAAGCAACGGGTGGTGATCGAACAGAGGGCTATCATTCTGTGATTAAATTTTTTCCTTGCCTCGAGTGCACGACTGCATTAATCTCGATCCAGAAACTATTGTTGAATCATGAAATTAAAAAAAGATTGAATGATAAATATTATAACGACAAATATTTGCCATTCACACAACTGAAAATGCATCCTAGCCTTTCTCAGTAACATAAGCAACGTTTTGTTTTCTTATTTTCTCCGACAGATTCATGTGCCTACCTGTACCTACCAGAAGGATATCCACAAAATATTTCAACCTTACATTCTACAATCAGTATATACAAGAGCTTGGTTTATTTAAAGACTTCACAGCTGATTATTTTAGTGGGAAAGTGCATGTTAACAAAATTGCGAAAAAATACGCTGTTGTTCTCGTTGATGTTTTTACGCAAGCCATGACTTGAATCACTCATAATTCGATCACAAAGATTGAAAAAACTCTAGAATATTATAACAATCTTATTTCTTTACTAGCCATGATTGTTGATGTTAATGGGTGATATATGTGGTTTTTGCCATGAAAGGAAACAATCAATAAATCTCCAACACTACGTTATGAGTTTGCTTTTTTATGGACAGGTGTAACTCAGAGCCGGCTGCAGACGAAAATAAGGAGTGCTTGAATTTCTCTTCTCCTGATCAGAAATAAAACGTATAGCTAACGACACTAACTTATGCTTTACAATTACCCAGATATCTTAAAACATTCCACCCCAGTTTTAAGAGTCCTCCACATCAAAAGACACGGAAAATCCCAATTTGGTGTTGTAAAATACATTTATAAAATGACATTGTAAAATTAATGCAGCCAAAGAAGTTTTATTTTAGCATCATCATACTTTTGGATTCCGTTCACAAACTGAAAAGTAAGAACCACCTCGTACAGGATAATAAACAGTACCACAGGAAGGTACTGCTCAGTAGCTTTCATTTGATTGGTCACAATTTAGGATTTCATCCAGAGACTCAAAAGTTAGAGGCAACATGGATGTGCAGCATAATAAACAGTACCACAGGAAACTAATGCTTAGTAGCTTTCATGTGGATCGTCACATCACAAAATTTCATCACCAACGAACCGTCTCAATTTAAGTTTGAATCACATTTGTGCCAACACCAAAGGAAAGCACTGAAACCATGATAAATTAACTACTTTATTAGAAAGTAAGAACACTTAAAACTCCTGTGGCTTGGGACACTTGTTCGTGCAGGTTGAGCAGGTAATTGGAAGAGTGGTTAATTACTTTATGAGGAGAGTGGAAAAACCAGAAGACCCTTCGCAGAAAACATTCAAGAGAACTTTAAATTGGTTTCGTGTTGCACTTTGGGGGAAGACCTGATGCCGTCACCTCATCCGACCTCTTATGTCTCGCTTCTGTGTAGTTCTTTATAATGATCACGTAACTAAAGATTATAAGTTCTCACGCTAGGAATCCACTGGATTCATGAATTTGTACAAAATTCAAACTTTTACAAAATTTCGGCTTCATGAATGTTTACAAAGTATTAGTTTGGATTCACCAACGTTTACACACCCAGATTAGGTTTATTTTTTAAACTTAATTGGCTTGCCCAGCTGGTAGAAAATAGTTGCAGTGTGATGAAAATTCACCCATCATCATTCTCCGGATAAGTTCCCAATACAGAAGAATTTATACTTAACGGGAAAAAAGAAGCTGTTTTTATAATTAGGCTTTTTCTCCACTTCCTGTCTTTAGGTGGCGAGTTAGCTGCAACCAAACGTAAGACTTTTTTCTTTCGACTTTTCCTTGAAATGTAATGTCACTAACTTTTCTTCATACTTTTTTTTTGCCATAAATGAGTATATACGGCTAGTAAATAACATTAAATTTAAAATCATATCACAGCTATGTTAACTATCATCCGTGGGCATCTCAGTCATCTTTCAGATATTTGTAGTCAACTCTAGGTGTCTAGGTTTCCGCATCAAGGAAGTGCACATACGGCCGGGGACCTGGGTCAATTGTCTATTTTTAGAGAATATACGCGAACAAACTTTAAGTTCACGTTCGTTCTCGTGGTCGTCCTTGTTCTCGAATTTAAATCTTTCTGTTATTTTTCCTTTGATCACTGGCATGACACGAGTCGTAATGGGATATACATACGATTTGAAGAGTTGTTTAACCTGAGTAATCCACCGAAATTTTTTTAGTAGATTTTTGTATGCCAAGCACTACTGATTTATAAGGCAGGGTTTATGTCGGAGAATATTACTGTTCAGTTAAGGGACCAGTCATTATTTATTGCCCGGGGGTGGGAGGGCTTGGGGCTAGACAAGGTGACATTGTCATTGTCAGAAGTCATGGCCTATTATGTCATTTCTACGCTGATGACGCCCAGCTTTAATGCTCATTCAAGCTTCATGATCAAGCTGCTTTAGTTCAAGCCATTGAGTCTTGTTTAAATGATATTGATGCATAGATGCTTGCAAACATGTTAAAGCTGAACAGGGATAAAACTGAGCTCCTAGTGATTGGACCAAAGCACAAAGTCAACCCACCTATTAAGGGTATTCAGGTGGCTAGTGAATACATTGAAGTCTCTAATAATGCTAGAAATTTATAGGTGTAATTTTTGATTCCCATGTCAACTTAGAGAAAGACGTTATGAACACCTGCAAAACGGCCTTCTATCATTTACGAAATAGAGCAAAGAGAAGAAACTGTCTCTCTCAGGATAATTCTGAGACACTTGTTCATGCATTTATTTCATGTAAGTTGGATTTCTGTAATGTTCTGGAAATCCCTAACCGATGACATAATATCAATCCAGAACCTTGATGTTTTTAAGAATAAGATTAAAACACTACTTTTTAGAGAGGCTTTTATTAGTTAGTTGACTACACTTTTTTCTTTTATTGTATATATTTCCTTTGTTGATCTTAGCAAGTCGAATGTATCTAATTTTTTTTCTAGAAATTTATTTCTACAATGAGTATATTAAAGATGAAACAACAACAACATGATATTAATTTGAGGAGGACTCGGAAAAAAAAATCCGAGTCCCAGATGGGATTTGAACCCACGACCCTCCGTGATCTAGTCGGATGCTCTAACCACTTGAGCTACTGGAGACTCTATGGTGAGCAAGGGCCAATTTGTGGGTCTTGAATGGAACCGCATCACGCGGCTACACAGCCAAGTAATGATAGGCACACAAGAAGTGAAGAACTCACTAACAGCATCGCGCTGTCACCTTAAAGCATATCCAAGATGCGGCCAACCAACCTCCAAAGTGAGTATATTAAAGATGAAACAACAACAACATGATATTAATTTGAGGAGGACTCGGACTTTTCCGCTCACCATAGAGTCTCCAGT